GGTTGGATCATGTCCTACTGAACCCCCAAATTCATCTCCTTCTTAGAGCCTCAGAATGTGATATGAGAATATGGTTATTGGAGATTTAATTAGTTGAGATGAGGTGGCACTGGAGTAGGGTAGGCCCTTAAGCCAATATGACTGGTGTCCTTATAAGGAGACACACAGAGACAGAGGCACATACGTGGAGACGGCCACAAAAGAAGAGACTGGAGTTATATGTCTACAAGCCAAAGAATGCCAAGGATTTCTGGCAATACCAGAAGCTATGTGAAAGGCACTGAACAGGCACCATTAGAGAGGACGTGGCACTGCTGACACCTTGATTTCAGACTTGTAAGCTCCAGAACTGTGAGAGAACAAGTTTGTGTTGTTGTAAGCCATCCAGTTTGTGGCACTTTGTTGTGGCAGCCACAGGAAACTAATACACCCAGCCTGCATTCCAGACCACTGCAAGAAACCATGCCCTGAGCTGCAGCCTCTGGTTCTGTGAGGAGGGGTGGGGAGCTTTGCTCCCTGAACAGCTGAGGCAAGCAGAGTATTAATGGAAAAAAACAAAAACAAAAACCAACACTGGGACTGGGAGCCTTGAATGCTGAATTCAGATAATTTCCTATAACATTCATCCCTATCAAACCATCTTAACCCTTTGCACTCGGATGTTGAGTATGACTTTACACGGGTTAGCAAATATTATAGAGATTAAAATTACTCTTTGAATGTATCAATAATTTGAAATATAAAAATTCCAAATAAATAAGTTTGTATGAAAAGAAACCCCAGTTTTTTATTCTACTGCTGTGCTTTGTAAAACCTGGGGTATTTAAAAAATTAAATCCCGAGTAGAATAAAGGAATCAAGAAAAAAGCAAGTGAGTGCAAAGGGCTAACAGTTTAAATCCTTAGTTCCAACATTTATGTTTTCCAATTTAATCCCTTTTGATACTATTATAAGTTGTTTACCCTGGGAAACAGCCTCTGAAACTCTGAGATTTGCATGTAGGAGTACTTTTGGGGAGTGATTGCTGTAGCTATATCTGTGAGTGATGAAGAAAGCAGTATTGAGCAGAGGAAGTTGAACCACAATGCAATTGCAGCAGAGGTCTCAGCTGATCCTACAGGGAGCACTAGAGCTGGAATAGCCCTTTGGAGTTGTCTCAACTGAGGCAAGGGTGCCAGGCCTTTGTATCCCCCACATAGACCAGCCATTGGATACAGGCTGCCCGTAGGGAGGAGCCATAGCTTTGGGTAAGGCAGCTTCCTTCAGCTACAGGCAATTCCTGGTGACGGACAAGGCTGTGAACAACCATGAGAAATGAGTGCCTGGGTCCTAAGGAGGGATCTAGAGGGTGGACTGCAACATCCACCACGTGTACGGATGAAGTCTTTCTGCCTAATCATCATGTTATTAGAATGTGGCCATGAGAGATTCCACACCTGGACTAGAATTGCCTTACTCTGGGAAAGATTCCACTGGGTGCTCTCAAATCATGTATCTAGTGACAGGTCTGAGAGGTCTCAGCACTGCATTCTTACGCTTTCTCCTTTGCCACCCACACATTTTCCTTTTTCGCCCATTGCAACAACTCGTAAATATCCATCTTAGGATGGTTTCTGATCACATTTAGACCATAGTGATTTTTTCTCCTTTTCTAGTTACCCACGACAGAGAGGATAATCATTTGCCCACCTGGAAATTGCCATTTATTCATTTGTTCACTTATTCATTCGTCAGTCATCACACATTTTTAGTGCCTACCCTATACTATATGAGGCACTGAATATATATATATATATATATATATATGAATATATATATATATATGAAGAGATCGTAAAAGGCCTCACATGTCGAGATCAGGAGGTAGATTTTATCTACGCGTAATGAAGACACTTGTGGGCAGTACTGTGCCTTGAACAGCTTTGTGTTACTGCAGGATCCCTCTGTGGGCCTTGAAGAGGATGGATTGCACAGAGAGACTGCAGTACAGGGGAGGCAACTATGGGTATGGAGAATTTAAACACCAATCAGGCCACTCTTCAAACCTCAGCTGAGTCCCCATCTTCTGTTCCTCTCTAAGAACCACTTTGCTGTCCCACAAGTTAGCATGTTGCCAAAGAGCAAGTCGACAGCCTGCTTAGGTGCAAGTACTCACAGCAGCCCCTGGGGCCCAGCCACATGCCTTTGTATGTGCAAACACACCATGTATGTGACCTCAGGTCACAAACACTCAGCACACAGCTGTCCACATAGACTGGACACCTCTAAAAAATGAGCCCCAAAAGGATGCATCATTCCATTTTGGCTTTTCTCTCAACAGCCTCAATAGCTTTGGGCCAGTCCCTAATAGGTAAAGTAAATCTCTCAGTGGGTGGGATTTCCACATTAAATAAAAATTATAGATCTAAGTGTATGACCTATCAGCAGAGACTGTATCCCAAAGAAACAAAAGCAGGAGAATTTTTTTTTAAATTAGCCTGCTATAGAATGGAAAATAGAAGAGAAAATATCATATTAATAATAATTATTTGAAGGTAATAGCTTATGTTCTTTAAAGCAGTTCCAACATAAATGTCACTGTAAGAAATGATATTTCATTTCAATACTAACAAATCAGGTACTTAGTGTGCTGTGGGAGAAATGATTGGAACTACTTTAAAGTCGTGTTAACCAAAGAAACTGCAAAAATATTTATATTCTTATGAAGGCAGGAAGGAATGCCCCTCCTGGGTGTATTTAAGGTTCCTCCATCTTTTGGATAAATGGTAATGCTAAACAAAAAATGGAAAGATGACCTTAGAATAATAACCTTGAGACTCAATTGGGACTCAGCTTCCCAATGTACAAAAATCATTTGCAATATGTTCAGGATGGAAATTTCTATACTGCTTTATAGCTCATGAACTTCATTATATACTTCAAATAAAAATCACCAAAACACCCAACTCTGGGCTGGCCCTCCCATATGTAAAATTACTCACCATTCCCTCACTCACTGTCTGCAATTCTGCTCAGTTACTAAACAATGGTTGTAAGGACAGGAAAACAAAAGGAAGGAGAAAACCAATCCATTCAGAAGGTGTTTCATATTGAGAATGGGATTGTTAAACCAAAATAAGGTCTGGCACTGTTAGTGTTTTCTCTAGCCAGTTCTCTCTCCAGTCTTTCTTCTAGAGACCCCATGCAAAAACCAAATGGAAAATTTCACAAGATAAATGCTGTGCCAAAACCTGAAAGCTGTCCTATTGGGTGAGCCTCTTTCATTTTTTGTCACTGCCAACAGCCACTATGTACATTGCATGGAAGATAGAGAGATAGTGAGGGCCTGAGCCTATGGGTCATTTAGTTTTCAAACAGCTTCAAAGGACTGAGTTTCCAGTTGATTTATAGTGAATGGCATTGTTACTTATATTACTAGAAGCTGTTAGTCTGAGTTTGCACTTGGAGAAACAAAGTCAATAAAAGTCACCAATCCAATAAATCTGTGAAGGGCTGCATAGAGTTGTCTTTTAAACAAATGACTGGCTCACTTCCATCAAGAGGCTTACAGTTAGAGAGGCACAAACCTATATCCATAATGCCATAGGTCATAATATTCCAGGCTTATTTTCCCAGTCTTTTAGGTTTTAAATGACAAGACAGTGAGCAGATCTCTAATGATGTAACCTCCAAGGACATTCATATATGTATTTTCTTTCAACCTTCACAGAGATCTTGTATGGCAGGAAGTAGAGGAATTGTCATTAATATCCACATTTGACATATGAAACATAGGTTCATTGTGGTAAGTAGCTTTCAACACTGTTGGTTAGTGGAAGAGTGAGGTCTTTGGTGCCCAATCCCATGTGTATCCAATGATCTCCACTCTTCTTATTCTGCATCTACATTAATGTGGGTAAATAGGATTAATTCAGATTACTAATTTATTAATTTGGTAACAAAATACTTCTTTAAAGCAACTATTTAGACTAAGTGGCTATTTGAGAGAAATAGTGAGTCAAAATGAGTGTTCGGTAGTCCTGAGTCAAAAGAAAACCTCTTTGGGTGGGAAGTTAGATAATGTTCATCATCTGTTACTCCTTGAAATCCCATTGATAACTAACAGATTTCTACAAGCTCAGTATTGCATAGGTGCCAAGTGCTTCCTGGCTGTTCCAAGACAGTATTAAAGCCAACACAATGAGCTTAACACTGGTGAGGTACAGGTATTCTTGGGGTTTAATGGAAGTCACCAAGGAGTAGTCTGTCAGCTTGCCTAAGAAATTTACAAGAGTGTATTACCCTGGCACTGTCAAAATGTCCCTTATTTATGTTCCTCTATAGGGGAGTGGGAAGAGCAGCCAGGACAGCCTGCTGCAGCAGCCATCCAGCTGCTCATGCAGTTAATATAGCTGTAGAAAGAATATGATTTATACAAGAACACTTTCCCTTGACACTAGCATATGAGTCTGAGACCCACTCATTCCAGGAGACCCATGTCATGCACACACACTATTTTGTGCTCTGGAGACAGCAGGATAACACAGAGGGTTGCAGATTTAGATTGGCACAGAAGACAGAGAAACACAATAGATATATGTATTGACGGTATCTATAGACCAACCTATGCCATTTATGATGCATATGGGACTAGTCCACTGGTTGCAAAAGGCAACAACAGATTTTCATGCATAGAATAGATCCAGGCAGGCAGAGATTCTGTAAAAGTTGGAGTTGCACATCAACGGAAGGCTCCCTGCTGCTTGCTGGTGAGGGCAGCTAATTAAGGAACCATATTGGAAGGCACGCATACATTGCTTCCAGGATCAACACAGATGATGCTGAAGGTGAAGGTAATCATTGAACCAATTCTTCTTCAAGATAAAGTAGTAAGGTTAGACTCTACCTGGAGCCTTCTTCCCCTTTCAGGTGAGATAGCAGGAATGAGGGGTCTATTATAGCTTTCCATTTCTGAGTATTGCTGCCGAACGCAAGTATGGGTGTCCCGCAGCTTCACATACCTGGTACGGGCCCTGGTTGCAGCCACAGTAGCTGCTTTCCATGGTGTAGCTCCTGGATACCCCCATCTCTCTCCACACCACCACCCGGGCCGTGGAGGCTCGAGATTTCTCCACAAGGAAGCTGCAGCTGCTCATTGTGAATGCTGGTGCTATCTTATCAAGAATTTTGGGAAGAGTCTACCAAAAAAGAAAAAAAATCAGTGATCAGTTACCAGTGATTGGGAAATATTCATCATAAAAAATGGCTTCTCAGTATTTACTAAGCATCTCTATGTATCAAATAATTAATATATGTTACTGTGAATCATTTATTGACTGTACAAAATGGATGCCACTTTTTTTTATCACTTTTCAGATGAGGAAACAGGCTTAGAAAAATTATAAATAAATAGCATAAGTCCCACAACTATAAAGCATCCAGAATGGGATCCAAATGCCAACCTGGCCAACTTCAAAGACCATAGTCTCTCAACACCATTTTTCTGCATTGCTGTGGACCTGTGCTACGTGCATACATTGTGCCTCCTATGTGGATGAGCTGAGCCTATGAAAAGCCACAGATTTCACAGGGGACTGAAATTTAAAGAGTGACTCAATCCATTCTTTCCAGCTGCACTGTTTCTTAGCAGGGTCAGACTAGGGACTCTTCACTTATCTCAGAAGGTCATAGGGACCAGTGATGATTCTTAGGCAGGGGCACATATAAAGTTCCCTTGTTTCCTACAAGTATGTAATGGCCAAAACGAACGTGTTAGTCTCAAACCTCTAAGCCACACATCTGAGACCAAATGAATTATAATACTCCTAAATCCATCCTCTCTGGGTTCAAATGCCCCACCTTTTCCTGGGGTAAAAGATTTTATTTATAACCACTTAATTTCCATTTAGAAGGCATCTGTAGATTCTTGTCACTCTGAATGACAGAGAGGGGAGCTTCCAGCCACTGGACCTCCTCCCCAGATGATCATGACTCAGGGTTAGTAGTCTTTGGGTGAGCAGAAGAACTATACTTAGTCCCAGAACTTGTGACATTAACAGGAAGGGTTTTCTCACTTCAGTGTTGACAGAATATCTACAAACCAACACATAATATAAAGTTATGTACATTGAACAGTGAAGCTTTAGGCTTTTAGACAATTATGGGGAGAAGGTAGAGAAGCATAACAGATTGGTGAGAATATGAATGAAAAAAATTATTTGTAAAGAAATATTGGGTTTTTTGTTAATTTCTAGAACATTGAACAAATCTATTAAATCTCCCTGATACTTACTTTCCTCATGTTTAATATAACTTAATTATATTATATAAGTATTAATTATATTATGAATTATATATTATATACAAGTATATATTAACATAATTATTAATACAATTTACTATGATCTATAAGTTCCCACATAGCCTCTGGACCTACAGATCATTTGACAAAGGGAAATGAAATGCTAATATTTTTCTCAATTGAGTTTCTGCAATTGCCTCAATAAAATCCTAATTGATTTCATCATATCCACTCTTCTCTTTTCCTCCCTATAATTCCTGACCCCATTTATTTTCCTTCCAAATATTCATTACAATTGCAATTAAATTATTGGGTATATATTAGTTGTTTATTTTTGACCTTCTTGGCAGCCTAGAAGTTCCATGAGGGCAGATCTGTGCCTTATTCACAGGAAAATCTCTGCACACTGAGCAGTGCGTTGCGCATAGAGTGTACTCCACATTTATCTGCTGAAATAAATAGAATTTGCTAGTCCAAACCCTTAAGTAACTGCTTAAATAGACATAAATACACTACATGTACATGCTACAACTAAAGTGATTGAAAATACCCATGTTTCATTCTGTTGCAGAAAGTTTACTCTTGCACCATTTAAATGATCTCCCTTTTCTTACTTAAGTGAATTTATTTTTTCTTTTGTAATTTGTGTCTCTTTTAATATATACAAAAGATGTATTTAGAGCAGTTTTAGGTTCAACAGTAAAATTGAGTGGAAGGTACAGAGGTGTTCATATATAGGAGCACAGGGTATGTGGAATGGCCTCTCCCATTATTAGCATTCTCCACCAGAGTGATACATCGCTTGTAATTGATGAACTTACATTGACACATCATCATTATCTAAAGTCCATAATATACCTTAGGTCTCATTTTGGTGTTGTATATCCTATGGGTTTGGACAAATGTATAAGTGACGTTTTTTCAATCATTATAGTATCATACAGAATGATTTCACTGCCCTAAAAATCCTCTGTGTTCCACCTATTCATCCTCCTTATTGTTCTTCCCCCAAACTCCTGGCAACCACTGATCTGTTTACAGCCTCCATAGTTTTGCTTTTTCTAGAATGTAATATAGTTATGATTATATAGTATGTAGCTTTTCCAGATTGGCTTCTTCTAGTTAGTAATATTAAATTAAGGTTCCTCTATGTCTTTTCGTAGCTTGATAGTTCTTTCTTTTTAGTGCTGAATTATATTTTACCATCTAGATGTACTATAGTTTGTTTATTCATTCAACTACTAAATGATGTCTTGATTGCCTCTCAGGTTTGTCAATTATAAATAAAGCTGCTATAAACATCTATGTGCAGGGTTTGTGTGTGTGTGTGTGTGTGTGTGTGTGTGTATGTGTAGAAATAAGTTTTCAATTCTTTTAGGTAAATATCAAAGAGTGAGATTACTGGATTATATGGTAAGAACATGTTCAGTTTTGTAAGAAATCACCAAACTGTCTTCCAAAGTGCCTATACCATTTTGCATTCCCACCCACAATAAGAGAGAGCTACAGTTGCTTCACGTCCTTGCCAGCATTTGATGCTGTTGGTGTTCTTGATTTTGGCCATTCTAACAGGTATGCAGTGAGAGCACATTGTTGTTTTAATCAATTTCTTTAATTACATATGATGTGGAGCATCTTTTTATACACTTATTTGCCATGTGTACATCTTGCTGGGTGAAGTGTCTTTTAAGTTCGTTGGCCCATTTTTTTAACCAAATTGTATGTTTTCTTATTATTGAGTTTTGTGTTTTTTATACAAACTCTGAGTTCTTATATAAACTCCATTGTTCCAGATACCAGTCCTTTAATAGGTGTCATTTGCAAATAGTTTCTTCCAGTCTGTGACTCGTCTTTTCATTCTCTTGACAGTGTCCTTTTGTAAAGCAGAAGATTTTTAATTTTAATAAAGTTCAGCTTATCAATTCTTTCATTTACAGATTATGCTTTAGGTGTCATATCCAAAAAGGCATTGCCAAGCCCAGGGTCATCGAGATTTTTCTCCCATATTATGGGAGATTTTTCTCCCATATTATCTTCTAGTTTCATCGTTTTGCATTTTATACTAAGCCTGTGACCCATTTGGAGTTAATCTTCGTGAAGGGTGTAAGGTCTGTGTCTAGATTCTATTTTTTTTTTTTGCATGTGGATATCCAGCACCGTTTGTTGAAAAGACTCTTTGCTCTATTGTATTGCCTTTACTCCTTTGTCAAAGACCAGTTGACAATATTTATGTGGGTCTATTTCTGGCTCTCTATTCTGCTCCATTGATCTATCTCTATTCTTTCACTAATGCCACACTGTCTTGTATACTACTGCTTTATAGTAAGTTATGAAGTTGGGTAGTGTCAGTCCTCTAACTTTGCTCTTCTTCTTTATTTTGTGTTAGCTGTGCAGAGAATTTTATCTCTCTATATAAACTTTAAAAACAGTTTACTGATGCCTACAAAACAATTTGCTGGTATTTTTATTGGGATTTCATTAGATCTATACCTCATTTGGGAATAACTGACATCTTGATAATATTGAGTCTTCCTATCCATGAACATGAATATTTCTCCATTTGTTTAGTTTTTAAAATTTTGTTCATTAGAGTTTTGTAGTTCTCCTTATATAGATCTTATTCATATTTTATTAGATTTATACCTAAGTATTTCATTTTAGGGGTCTGTGTTTTTAATTTTAATGTCCGCTAGTTCGTTGCTAGTATACAGGGAAGCAATTCAATTTTGCATATTATCCTTGCATGATGTGACCTTTCCATCATCACTTATTGGTCTCAGGAATTGTTGGGGTTATTTTTGTCAATTCTTTCAGATTTTTTACACAGATGATCACAACATCTGTGAACAAAAACAGTTTCATTTCACCTTCCAATCAGTATACCTTTATTTCCTTTCATTATCTTATGGCATTGCTATAATTTCCAGTACAATTGTTTTAATATCCATGGGATCTGTAGTTATGTCCAATTTTTTATTTCTGATATTAGTAATTTGTGTCCTCTCTCTTTTTTCCTAGTTAGAATATCTAGAGGTTTATTTATTTTAAAATGTTTTTCAAAGAACCAGTTTTTGGATTCATTGTTTTTCTCTTTTGATTTCCTATTTTATACCTCATTGATTTCTGCTATAGTTTTGACAAATAAAAATTGTATATATTTTATTAATCCACTCACGTATTGATGGGCACTTGGGTTTCCACATCTTTGCAATTGTCAATTGTGCTGCTATAAACATTCAAGTGCAGATTTCTTTTTTACAGAATGTCTTTTATTCCTCTGGGTAGCCACAAAAAACAATGGTGATCTAGCACCTCTTGTATTATCCTGGATAGAGCTGGAACCCATTCTAAGTGAAGTATCACAAGAATGCAAAAACAAGCACCACACATATTCACCATCAAATTGGTATTAACTGATCAACACTTAAGTGCACATTTAATAGTAACATTCATTGGGTGTTGGGAAGATGGGAGGGAGGAGGAGAGGATGGGTATATATACACCTAATGGGTGCAGTGTGCACCATCTGGGGGATGGACACACTTGAAGCTCTGAGTTGGGTGGGGAAAATTTGCAATATATGTAACCTAAACATTTGTACCCCCATAATATGCTGAAATAAAATAAAGTAAAATAAATTGTATCTATTTAAGATGTACAAAATGATGTTTTGATCTGCTCTATTTTTTTCTTTTCTTCTGCTTACTTTGGACTTAATTTGTTCTTCCTTTCCTAAGGTGGAAGCTTAGATGATTGATTTTAGATCTTTTCCCTTTTCTAAGATATGCATGTGATGCTATGAATTTCCCTCTAAGCATCACTTTTGCTGCATTCCACAAATTTTGATAAGTTGTGTTTTCATTTTTATTTAATTAAAAATATGTTCTAATTTCTCTT